CGGGTTCGAGTCTGAGTCTCGTACCGGCAGGAATTGTAGGTGGGGGGGGTGAATGTACAGCGCACTCTTCCACCTTCAATACCACAACTGAGGTGCCCTTGAGCAAGGCACTGCTCCCCGGGCGCCAGGGCATTTATGCCCACTGCTCTGGGTATGTGTTCACAGTGTGTGTGTGTTCACTGCTGTATGTGTGCACTTTGGATGGGTTAAATGCAGAGCACTTGTCACTTCACTAAGCTGATCCTTTACAAAAGTTGTCACTTTCTAGAGCAGTGTTTGCACTCACTAATAATTTAGGTGAATATATTTATTACAATAAGGTGCAAATACAAAAAGATCTGGGCCCCTTTTCTTAAAGATTCTAAGAATCCTCTCAGAGAGCTCCCAATTTAGCTTAAAAATTTCTTTTTTAGCTTAAGAGCAATTCAGGACCAATCTGAGAGCAATTCTATGCAAGGAAAAGACAAAAACTTTCATCTTAGTGAGGAGGCGGGGCTGAACCCGTTGCTACCTATGACAGTCTTTTGAAGATTGTGATTGATTGGCTGGTTGTTCAAGAAGGGGAAAAAAGAGAGAGTGCTTTAGGGTTTATTATAAGCCTTCACTTTGAAATTACAGGCGCAATTTTTCCTATTTTACTCTCTCTCACACATTATATACAGTATATATACGATATATACTGAACAAAATTATAAACGCAACACTTTTGTTTTTGCCCCCATTTTTCATGAGCTGAGCTCAAAGATCTAAGACTTTTTCTATGTACACAAAAGGCCTATCAATTTTTCCTATTTTACTCTCTCTCTCACACACACATTATATACAGTATATATATATATATATATATATATATAACCCCAATGGTTGAAAATGATCTTTGACCACACCATTGACATCAGACATACATAGTCTGATATACTGATATACTGTGACAAATATGCACAAAATTTAAAAAACAGCAAGGGGGCCAACACTTTTTCACACCACTGTATATATATATATATATATGGTCGCCATGATTTTGCCAAGTAAGACATGTTCCTGGATCAACATCTTTTGTTGATCCTGGATCAACATAACTGTCCAAAAATATAGACTTAACCCAATCCCTACCCCTAAACCTAACCCTACCCATAATTTATTCCTATACAGTGTGAAATGATATCTGATTAACAAGGGTGTAGATTGTAAGCCTAAAACAGATATTTCCTGAAAAGTTATCCCTCAATTCTGATTGGTTGATAGGAATGTTGTTCCAGGATCAAGTTGTACTTGGTGAAATCACGGTCACCTATATATATATTCTTACTTTTTTATTTACCGTGCTTTTAATGTTGTACTTAAGCTATTTGATTGGAAACGAACAGCGACACAATAAAGTTCTGAAAGTGCTGTAATTGTTTGTGTGATCACTTTGCTTGTAGAAGACTATGACAGACCCAAATCATCACTGCTGCATGTACAGCCACGTTCACACCGCAGCAGAATATGCAGAATGCGGTTGTCCGTCCTGTATTTGAGTCCTTAAAAATCATCAAATGTGTTCTACTGAAGAAACAAAGTCACCTACATCTTGGATGTCCTGGGGGTAAGCAGATAAACATCAAATTTTCCTTTTTGGGTGAACTATCCCTTTAACACGGTTACATTCACACAATACAGTTATTTACGGGGACTACAGCCGCATTCTCGGAAAACACGCGCTGTATGAACTGGACAACTAGTTGTAGTAGGCTACAGTGCGAGAGAGCCGTTCGTGTGTGGTTTCACGTTGGGTACAGCGACGGAGAAATGAGCCGTGTGTCATCTGAATGGTTTTAGATCCAGTCACTGTTCTTCACTGGAGTGGTTTCCATCAGTTTTGTGTTCTGTGCGTCGCAGTGCGTGACTCAACGCGCGAGATGCAGAAAAGGATGCGAGCGCATGCGGTCTTGACTCTCGTTGCACGTTCATACAGACAGTATTCGAGACGCTACTGTAAGCTGCTGTTTGAACGGGACATTTCTAGACTGTAAGGAAATGCGGTTGTCAATCCCTAAAAAACTGACCGTGTGAACGTGGCCGTGATTAATGTAGTGATTACTTTCAGGCGCTATGGCATTTTTAAACTGTCCGAAATGTTAGCGTGTCTCTCTAATAATATCGCTCACAAACATGATCACTGCACGATCTCATGTGTAGTGTCTTATTAACTCACTGGCATGCATTGTGTGCAATAGGCTACATTTGGTAACACTTTACTTGAAGGGGTGTGCATAAGACTGACATGGCACCTTCATAATCATGACATGACACACGTCATGAATATGAAGGAGGTTTTATGCATGTTTATGACAACTGTCATTAAGTGTCATTCGCTCAGTTATGTCTTTTTTTAATGCAAATATGACATTATTTGACCTAACCCTAACCTAACCCTACCCCTACCCTTACCCCATAACAAAGACATCTCAAACAATGTCATCTTTACATTAAAAATTACATAACTGAGCGAATGACACTTAATGACAGTTGTCATAAACATGCATAAAAAAACCTTCATATTCATGACATGTGTCATGTCATGATTATGAAGGTGTCATGTCAGCCTTATGCACACCCCTTCAAGTAAAGTGTAACCCTACATTTCTTCTCCCTCTTCACGTTTCGTTGATTTTCAACACAAGAAGCTCTTAAACCTCTTAAAAGTCCTCGTCAGTACTCCTAACAATTTAGGACCGTAAGAGCTCTTTTAAGGGTTAAGATGCTTTCTGAATTACTTTTCTTAATTTCTGAATCGTTTCTTTCATTTTAAGAGGAAACGCCCACATTTATAAGATTTTTCTTAGTGACAATTCTAAGAATTTTCATGAATATGGGCCCTGGAGTATTTAAGCCCCAACTTGTGTTGAAATGGATGGAATCCACAGGACTGTGCTAAAAGACAGTCAAATTGTCTGAATTATTCTTCTCCAATTTTAAGTCTTTTATCAGTGACACCCAAATTCCCTCCTATATTTCAGTTATAAAAGGTTCTCTGAAGCACCAGCAAAGTGAAGGGCGGAGCCTCTCCTCTCCAACCTATTTCCCAGCTTCCCTTTCCTCTTCCGGTCTGTAAAACTGTCCCATGTCCTGACTATCCCCTGGAGAGCATGTATCCTACTATTTCTATGACACTTTTCCAAGATAACGTCTGGTCACTGACTATCAGAGAGGAAAATCAGATAGAATCACTGTAGTTCAAAAGTCTGAGTCCAGATTGAAAATCTGGTTTAATCTAATATAAAAAACAGGAAACAAAGTTTAAAGGGGTCATGGCATGACTTTTTATTATTATTGTAAAACATTTCTTATGACATAAAAAAATATTTAAGAATTTTCAGTGTCACTAATCAAATAAGTACATTTGGACATTTACCATGTGAGCTGTTTTGTTCAAATGGTCAGCCGTTCTAGCTTCCACTGAAGGACAAGATGATCTTTGGGACGTTCTCATATCACGCTGGATAACACAGTGCTGTTTCACACACCATTTTGCACCAAATAATTGGTTTCATTTAAGAACAGCACAGTGGGTGTATTTCACGTTTAAGATACTGTGCGGTGGAGGCTGTTCAAACACATTACCTTAATCTTGAACACAGAGATATGAAAGTTCACGGAGAGGATGAAGCAAAACTAACTTGCTTTCCATGGGAAACCCTTATTACTCATGTAGTGACTCTCACACACACCTAGACAGGACCAGTTAGACCCGCAGAGCGAAAACTTTTATTTTATTCTTCCCCTCAGTCAGGTGAGGTGACTCAAACATCAAAACGGCTTCTGCTTTTTTTAACTGAGAATTTATCAAACACCACCCACAGCAGGAAACGGCAAAAAAAAAAAATCAGCTTATTAGTAAATTCTCTAGACCGGTTTTCATCTGCCACTAAAACAAAAACACACTGTTAAAGCGAGTACTAAAACTTGACTGTCGGGTTTGACCAGACAGGTGCATCAGTCATCTTCCACCTGTAGTAAGATTTACATACATCACATTTTCGCTCAGTAGTAAATCCATCTTATTTCTTAACAGAGAGCCCACTAACACGTTTAAATGTGCAGTTAATATTCGCGCAAAAGGCATAACCAACATGGCATCAAACACATTTTTTTCGGTATGGCAAGCCAATAGGGTCAGAATTATGGCAAAGATGAATCGGGTTTACATCCAAAACGCTATTTGGCTTTATTTAAAGTGGATTTAGTAACGTCAAACATCCATTTAGCGTCTGACAATTTTTATTTCTACTCAAGTAGAACTTAAAGTGCATGTAAACGTACTTAGTTGATATTAGGGGTGTCTTTATTGGTTTGCTTGGAGCACATTCTTCTTTGACGCTCGACCGAGAGGAATAGACAGAAACCAGGTGTTAGTTGGTGTACAGAATGTTATTTGAGGAAGGTTTCGTGATACACTTGAGTGGAATTGTTGGCAGGAGTCCATCATAAGCTTGCTCAGAGAGGGGTGAGTTCACTGTAGGAACAAATGTGTCGAACAAGTAGGAATGGTGATCACAGACTTACGAAACCATTTCTATTAAAGGTGGTTTAATGTTGACATATACAACCACAAAATGGCTAAATTGTGAGAAATCGTCGCAAAATTACAGACTACAAATATTCTTAAAAAAATGTCAACTAATAAAACATACAGCCAGTTTGGCATGACCACATGCCAAAAATATACTTTTTTTTTTTTTTCATGAATATACATTTTTACATTCCATGTGAAAAGTTCAGAATTGCTCTCAACTTTGAGCTGCCCACTCCAAAATGATAATTTTACAATTCATATATATGTGTACAACCATTGTCATAACATACAGCAGATCCAAATGGCTAATATTCTAAAAATACAGTATAAAACTATAACTTACATTTCTTCTGATGATTAGAGTACAAGGATGCTTTTATAGAAATGAAAAGAAATTGTCAAAAGATCAATTAATACAGACTACAAATATTCTTAAAAAAATGTCAACTAATAAAACATACAGCCAGTTTGGCATGACCACATGCCAAAAATATACTTTTTTTTCATTTTTTTTCATGAATATACATTTTTACATTCCATGTGAAAAGTTCAGAATTGCTCTCAACTTTGAGCTGCCCACTCCAAAATGATAATTTTACAATTCATATATATGTGTACAACCATTGTCATAACATACAGCAGATCCAAATGGCTAATATTCTAAAAATACAGTATAAAACTATAACTTACATTTCTTCTGATGATTAGAGTACAAGGATGCTTTTATAGAAATGAAAAGAAATTGTCAAAAGATCAATTAAATTGCCGCTTTCTCTCATTTTGCCTTGATAAAATTCAAGTTTATTTATCTGTGCTCTTGGCCAAGGTTTTTTTTATTCCTTATAAAATGGGTAGAAGAACATTTGGCAGGAACGCTTTGGTAGGTTTTCTGTACCTCATAGTTATTGTTTGGAAGCCCTGTAAAGAATTTAAGGCATTGGAGGGAATACAAGAAAATAAATAATTCAAGAGAATTCTCTTTGAGCTCGCTCATCTTGTAAGATGCTCCTATTATGGAGTGAAGAATTTGCAATTTGATGACTTGGTCAGGTTCAGTTCTTCAGTTGTGTGTTGAAAATCCCAAAATCTGAAGACAGTAAGCACATTTCTGCTTTTAAAAGCAGAAAAAATGTGTGGAAAACGGAGAGGGAAGCTGCAGTTGATCCTGTTGATTCCTCACAAGTTTATAATGGTCACCAATCAGTGTCCAAGTGCTCTGACAATAAAACGATACCACATTGAGCTTCCAAGACTCAACCACTTCATTCTTGATTCTTAAAACAGGTTATTGCCAATCCTTTAAATGGCACAATAAGAGCGTAGAGGGAAAGTAGTTTATTTTCCAATGTGTCCTACAGAGAGGGAGTTGTTCGGTTGGTTCAGTGTTGAGTATGTGTGAACAGGGTTTATGAGGATCTGGGTTAACACCAGTCAGCGATATAGTCAAAGTCTGCAAACATCTCCTGCTCGCTGACTGTCAGAACCCTTGGCTCACGAGGTGGAGTCAATATCGGTGCCTCTGAGGTGAATTCATCGTCAAAGTTACTAACATCTTCACAGCCTTTGATGGTCGGCACAAATGGGGGTCGGATCTTCTTTGCCAGCAGTGCAGCCCAATCTATACTCTGAGGAAGAATAAACAAATGTGTGGTAAGGAGATTTTCAGTGACATCTGAAAGTAAAAAACAAACAAAAAACAACAACAAAAAAAAGGTTAAACAGATGGCCTACTCTGAAAAACGGATGCCTCTTCACTTCCTCTGCATCTCGTTCCCCCGCGCCAAGGCGCCGCTCTGGATTTCTCCTTAACAACTGGATAAGGAAGAGAAAATTGAAAGCTTATGAACAGTTAGCTGGTAAATTAATTTGAGAATATAAGAGTGCCATTACAAAAAGGAACAGTCTTTTCTAATAAAGCTGTGTTGTGATTTTAAAGGGGTCATATGATGCGATTTCAAATTTTCCTTTCTCTTTGGAGTGTTACAAGCTCTTGGTGCATAAAGAAGATCTGTAAAGTTGCAAAGACTAAAGTCTCAAATCCAAAGAGATATTCTTTATTAAAGTTAAGAATCCGCCACACCTACCTAAAACGGCTCGTTCTAACACGCCCCCACATATCTAAGTCACTATGTGGAAATATTAGCATAATGCTGCCCAAACGTGCACGCAAAGAAAGAAGGCGTGGTTTCAGTAACCGCAGTTAGTGTTGATGCAGCCATGTCAGGGAGACGCTGTGTTTCAGTGCGAAAGCAAAAGCACTTTATTTGGCCTTCTGGAAGTAGACGCAATTAGGAATCATTGGTTAAGATTTATTTACAACAGAACAGCACAACCCAGATGTTCGAATTTGTGCAACGCATTTTATGGACGACGTTTTTAACCCAGAAAGTCTTGCTTTAAAAAGAACAGTTGGATGGAAAACAACAAAATGGCAACAGAATGCAGTAAACTTGATGTTTTGCAAAGTTGAACTGCTTGACACACTGTATTAAAAACATGGTGCACAGAGTGAGACGCTGAAAAACAGTGAGATTTCAAATAGCACAGATGGAATGTCTGAAGTTCTGTTCGAATGGTCCATTGGTCTACATCAGGCAGGTTGACAACTCTGTTGCATGGATTGCTGTGGACTGTAAACCAGTGAAATACTAAAGACCCCGATATACTTCACATGAAATCGAAGAACGAACTGATGTGACGTCAATTCGAACACAATTCGAACAAAATCCAGCCAAAATGAAGTTCGTTTTGGGAGTTCGAAATGGCTTGCCAAAGCGAACTTTCCGCAAAAGTTCTTTACGGCTGCAAAACATTT